AGGAATGAATAGAAAAGTAGGGAAATCTTGAATCGATACTATCGAATCAATATAGATTTTTTTTCAATCACTGATCATCTAGTCTTGTTAATTCACTTACACGAATAAAATTCTGGACATGAACAAAAAGTGAAATCAGAAAATGTAGATCGAAAGATTGATTGATTGACTAATTAATTGTACATACACAATAGTCTATATATATTATAAGGCGTGTGTGTTTGTGTGTTGGGATAATTGATGCCATTTTTCTCATCTTTTTCGGTAATTTTCGTATCACACAAACAAACAAAAACATACAACAAGAAAAAAAAATGAGAATTATAAATCCCAAAATCTCGTATCGATTTTGATTGATTAGCTACAGATTTTTTTTTGTCGGATTGTTTGTTCTTCAAAATCACTCCCACACACTCAATAACAAAAACAACAAATACAAATAAAATGAGTAACTCTATTGATCAGCTGATCAGGCAAACACACACACACACACATTTAGGATGTTCATCACCATCAACAACAACAACAACAACAACGATGATGATGATGGTGATAAAAGGGGGAGGAGAAAAGATCGATGGTGTTTTTTGTTTTGTTTTTAATATATTTTTGTGTGCTCAATCATGCTGTGAATATACCCACTTAGCCGATGAGCCAATTTTCTTTCTTTTCTAGTGAATATTATTTATTTTTCTTTCATTCACTCATCTTGTCTCGGGTGTATTATCCCCGGTTATGTAACATACACACACACACACACACACACAACAGAATACATGGCTAATTTATTCCAGAATTTTTTTTTTCAACATTCCGGTCCCTCCTTCTTCCTTTCAATCATGCCACCATCGCCACCACCACTATATGAATGTGTTTCAAATCGATTTTTGTTTTCGCAACCGAAAAACACATGAATTGAGTGAAAAGAATTGTTTAAAACTCTTGGGACTTAAAAAACAATAACAACAATGACAACTAGAATGAGATTGAATGAACTAAACAGTGGAATCCTTTCGTATCTAGACAAATTCAATTGGTTTTTTTCCTTCATTCTCATCATTTTGGGTAACTAAACTAATAAACTTTTAACATGAATTCATTAATTAATTCAGATTTCAATTAAGACCAGGTACTACATTACTATGCTCATGAGACATAATCACACATCACTCACCAGATTCTCTTCAAAATTTTTTAAAAAATTGAAAATTGCCCCGCAGAAATAAACAGAATCAGCCAAATATGGAACGGACAAAAATGAAAAATTGACGATTGAATTAATGGAAAAAAATTTTCAGTTGTTTGGCAAATTCAAAAACAACAACAACAAGTCAAAATGTCAACTGAAATTGGAATTTTTCTTTCTTTTGTTCACTGTCAAATTTTCTAAATACGATGATGATATTGATGTGATGAATTTCTTTTTGTCACTTAGATTTGTCACTTGTATTTGTCGCTAAAACATACACACACACACACAATGTACACAACAAAAATCACAAAAAAAAAGTTAAATTTCATTGATCATTCCGAAAGAATTAAATACCGGTGATCAACACAAGCACACGGAGATTCAGAAAAAAACCTGTAGATTAAATTTGAAAGTAAATTTTTCCATAAAATTGAAAACGTAAATTCAGAAAAATCTAGAGATCAATGTTTTACTCAGTCAGTCAATATAACGATCGATGGAACGATACGAATCGTATGAAAAATTGAAATCAAATGAGCTTCAAGCGGCTATGGACCATATCGTTTTATATGTGGAATTCTGTTTTCTGCTTTACAACACTCACTTGTCAAGCGCATAGTGCACCACATATCTATTTCTATATCCGAATAATAATAATAATGAAAAAAATCTCAAATCATTTTGTGCATCTGCGCATTTGAATTGAATTTGATTTGAAATTTTCGTTTTTTTTTATACAAAATTTTATCGAAAAAATTGATTTTCATTTTAAAATGGCTTTTCAATTTTTTTTTGTTTTCAATAATTTGTCAATCGACAAGAGTTTGCTTTGTTTTTGTCTGATTTTCCAATCAAAATTTTTTAAACAAACAAAACATTATTTGAACCATCCATATCATCATCGGCATCGAATGATGATATGGATGGTTTCAGTATTTGAAATTTCGACGATGAATTTTCAATTTTTCTATTCTCCATGTTTGACTAAATGGATCGTCAATGTGTTTGCGTGTGTGTGTGTGTGTGTGCATCACGGAAATGTCACAATGAGAAACGGCGCGTTGAAAAAAAGGAAGTTACATCCATATCCAACAATGAACCAGAAAAGAAAACGAAAAAAAAATCCAAATCCATGGAAAAGAAACAAAAATTTTTCGAAATCAAAAGCCAAAAAAATCGCACACACACACAAAGAACAATGAAATTTTTTTTTTGTTCAATTCATTCTCACCACCACCATTTCTATCCATTTCAGAATTCGACAGCGAGAAAAAAATAGTCGTACGAAGCGGAAAAAAATCGATAACCGATTTCAATCGAATCCATTTTGATTTTTCTCAGTTTGGAAAAAATAAAAAAAAAAACAAATGGCACTTGGAACACGCATAGATGAATCTGGTAAAATCAAAATCAAAAAAAAAAAAAATTCGAAAATGGAAAATGCAATGGGCAATTTAAATTGGCTTTTTCGTCATCATTGTTGTTGTTGATGCGATGAAATTGATGATGTCACAACACTATGAACCATGAATGAAAATAGAATAAGTTTGACACACACACACACAAATGAAAAGAATGAAAAAACAACGATTCAAATGTGAGTGTGTATTTGAATGATCAAAATCTTTTTCAAAGAAAAAATTTCATTTTTCAATTGGCTAATGATTGAGATCTTTAAAATTGTTGTTGTTGCTGAAAAAATGAAACAGAAAAAAAGAGATAATCTCCGATTGTGTGTGTGTGTGTGAAATCGATTGATAGATTTTTTTCATTCATTTCAGTCTTTTTTTCAAAATTTGTCCCATTTCTTCTTTGATGATTGACCCAGAAATTTTTTTCCATTCAATTTTCAAAATTTCGCTAGATTGTTTAAAATTTTTCAATTTTTTTTCATCATTATTATTGATTTTACATTTGTTTCAAATTTCACATTTCAAAAGTATCGTAGAATAAAATTAAAAACAAGGAGAATGAGACAGAAAAATTGAATTAAATTATTCCCCAGCAGAAAAAAATGGATTCTCGTTTTCGCGAAAAAAATCTTGTTTGATCAAGATCAATGGGTAATAGTAATGGCCAAGTTTTTTTTACAAATGGATCACCAAAAAAAAATTGAAGTTTTCGGCTTTTTATTTACATTTGAATGTCACAATTGTCTCTCATCATCATCGTCGTAATGATCATCAATGAAATAAACCTTTAGGCCACACACAAACAATTCTATCCGGCGATAATGAACATTATTGGATCATTGAAATACATCGATTGGCGGCGGAATAAATTAGACTGGATTCTAAAAATTGTTTCAATAAGTTCAAAAAGTGTCCCAGGTGCAGCCACCAGTGATCTTCGACCCGATCGAAATTTTTTTTTTTAGAAATGTCAGCTTGGCCAACAACAAATTCATTCATTCGAATCGGTTGTTAATGTAGCTGTGTGTTATGTGTGTATTTGAAAATTGATTTTTGATGATTTGAAAATTGTTTTTTAATCGACTTTAAGTGAAGCGATATTTTTTTTCTCTCAACACATACATACATCAACCATAAACATACACACACAGTGAATCACTTGAAAAACTTTTCATCAGATTCTTGTGTTTGTGAACAGCAGAAACATACACACCTCATCATCATAAATCATGAGGTTTCTTTTCAATTTATCCAAGTCTTGGTCTGTCGATTTTTGTTTTGATGTTGAATCGATTTTTTTTGCAAAGAATATTTTGAAATATGAATTTCATGAATATTTTTCATGTTTTCAAAGATGTTTTTTTCGTCCAAACAAAGGAGAGGAAAAAATCAGGTATGAATTTCACTATAGTGTCACACACAAACATGCACACAAGTGAATGAGAAAAAATATTGAATATTCATCGCAACAACAACAACAACAACAACAACAACAACAACAACAACAACAGCTTGTCTCTTTCTCTCTGTGCGTGTGTGTGAAAATTCGATTTTTTAATCTTTAAAAAAAATTCTCATATGGAATCGAAATTGAAAAATCGAAAATTTTTAAATTCAAAACTTTCTCTCGATTTGTGTCTAGTTCTATTCCATTTCTTTGGAAATCAAAGAAAAAGAAAAGAATCCATGCACAGACAAATGCAAAGATTTTTATTCATTTTTTCTTTCTTCAGAACACCCCCGCATAATTCAAGAAAAAATGAATCAGTCCATCAACCATTGTAGAAATCAAATGGAACTGATAAACCAAAGAAAAAAAATAAATAAATAATAATAATCAATTGAATAACATGCACACACGTAAATAAAAAAAAAAAAATTGAAATGAAATGAAATTCAGATAATTCACTGTCACACCAAATGTGTGTAAATGGATAGATAGAATTAATTAATTAGAAAAACACAACATATCAAAACAATCAATTCTTTTTGGAATATTCCACTATTTTCTATATAATAAACTGGTAAAAAAATAAAGTTTGAATTTCAAGGATCAATGAATTTGACAATCACAACAACAACAGCAACATGCCAATTTTGGAAATATAAAAAAAAATATAGACAATCTGTGTATGTGTGTAACACATTCGGTCAATCAATATGTCGAATTCTTATTATTCTGTACGTCTAACTGAAACAAACAACAACAACAAAAACAACAATCTTGACACTTATGGCTCAATCATGAAACAAAACAAAAAAAACAGCAAAAAAAAAAAACGACGACAACAACAAACAATCCGGATATATGTGTTCAAGTTCAATTCAGTTTCAAGGATACAATACACACAAATAATGTACAGCAAGAGAAAGAAAAAAATAAAACTTTTACTTACTTGTTTTTTATCATTAAATATCCAATTCTATTCTGTGTGGAATGGAGTGTTTTTGGTCTATATATATTCCAGGATCATTATTCACAATTTTTTTCTGCTTTGTTTCCTTTGCCCGATCCATGGATTTTCTATTTATTGATTTATTATCATCAAATTATATTATATCCGATTTATAATTTACTTACACTTATGGTTTGATTTTCAGGGTGAATTAGAGAGTTCAATATTCTCTTTCTTACACTCTGTTTTGTCAAATCAATTGACTTGTGTATAGATGGATTTTTTTTTGAATAGTGGAAAAAACAGTTGGAAATCCGGCTTGATTAATCCGGATTTTTTTTTATTTTTTGTCTGGCAAATACCTCCCGAATGATTCACATTGAATAAACACAAAAATACGTCACTACGATGAACGGGTGGTTTTATTTCGTGATCCTGGATGATGAGATTTTTTGATATTGATGAATGATTCATTTTTTCTGCATTTTTGAACTTGAAATTCATATATAAAAAAATGAACAGAAACAAACAAACAAACACAAATGTCTTGTTATTATTGCATCTATTAGATATCGTTTGAACAGAAAAAATTGATTGATTATCGAGCCACATTGCCATCATCATCGTCATCATCATCATCATCGATCAATAAACATGAATAAAGGAAAGAGAAAAAAACAATCAATTGAAACAAAGTTAAAAACAAGATGAAATAATTACAAAAACTTACATAACATTTTTTCTGGCCAATAAACGATTTTATCGATTTAATCAATAAATTTCATTTTTGAACATTTGTCGAACATCAATCAATCGATGACATAGTATGGCACTGATTGTCGTACAGATTATTTCACATTGATGTTGATGATCATGATTATGGCTTTGGCGAATAACTGGTATAGGATTAGTTTTCTTTTCTTCATAATTTTTTAAATGCTGATTCAGTGGATTTTTTTTCATTAAATTTTTTTTGTTTGAAAATGAATGAATTCTTCTTGGAATATATGGATCCAAATATGATGAAAATCGGAATTGTTTTTCAAATTTTAAGTCATCATGGATTATATATTTAATGGAAACTAAGGAACAAAAAAATGGAAAAAAATTAGCGATACAAATCAATGAGAAAGAGAGAGAGAGAGAAAAAATGGACCAGCAGTTACAAAAACTACGATTAGTCATTCGAATTTTTTTTTCACTTTGCTGTTGTTCCATTTGGATCATAGTAGCATATATAAATGTGCATGTGACATATGGTTGGATTTTTTTTCGTATGATTGTGAACTTTCTGAAAGTTTTTTCTACGAAAAAAAAATTTTACTAATAAGAAAAACGGGTGTGGATGGAAGAAATTCTCATTTCTGATTCTCTTGATGTTGTTTGTATCCACCATGAACGAATTATGCAAGTAGTGATGATGGTGGTGGTGGTGGTAGTAACATTGAATCAATCAAAATCAATGGAAAATGATGATGATGGAGCTTAATTCTTAAGCCTTTATTTTCACGACATTTTTCGATTGCTTAACGCTACCAAATCCTAATGATGATGACCAAAATTTTTGAATACACCAGCAGCAGCAAAAGTGGATTTGGATTTTTTTTTTGGATGGTGGGGCCGGGTGGTTTTTTTTTCTTTGGTTTGAGATATTATTATTGTCAACCAAACCAAATCGGAAAGAAAAAAAATCGATTTGATGGAAATAATCTCTAAACGAATGATTTTTTTCGCTTTGCATGTTGTGTGTGTGTGTGTTTGCAAAAAACTCTTTGATCTCCATTGAATCATCATCATCATGAATCGATAGTTTGGATTGTGTCTATGAAATGGATCAATGATTCAATGTTGAAATGTTTTCTTTTGCCGGATTCATCTCCATTAGAGTTTCAAATCGATTTACCATTTTTTTTTGAAGAGTGAGAAAATGATTGATTAAAAATTCTTTCAAATAGTTATGTTGAACCATAAAATTTCGAGAATTTTTTTGAAAAAAAAATTCAAAATTTGAATTTTTTGTTGTTGTTGCTGGATTCTTTCATTTTTTTCAATATTGAAAGAGAGAGTTCAACGAGTTCACAATAGTTTTTTTTGGTAATTTCATTTCTTGTTTCTTTTTGTTGGTTTGTTTGTTCGTTGGTGGTGGTGGTGGTGCTGGTGGTCATCAAAGAAAAATAAAAAAAATTTTCGTTTCTTTCCAAAGAAATCAATAGTAATAGTTTTGAATTGTGAAAGTTTGATAGTGTTGCGGTGTGTGGATGGGGAACGCGTCTCATGAGAAAATGATGATGATGATGATGATGCAAACATAACAAAGAAAAAAAGAAATCTGTTTGACCACAAACGACATGAGTTTTCAATTTTTTTTTCTTCTTTAAATTTTGTTGGAACATTGCATTCTCCGGTTAAGAATGTCCATTGTATATGAAAGAATTTTCAATCGATTTTGATCTGAAATAGAGTGAAAAAGAAAGAATTTTATTCAAGCAAAAAAGGCATCATTTTGACAGAGTAAAGTTTTCATTTCCTATTTTTTCTCGATAGAATTTCCTTACACTTTTGATTCTATGCTGAATGTTAAGAATTCTGTTTGTTTGTTTGTTTGTTTTTTTATTGAAATCAATTTTTCATTTTACATCATCATGTGTTGACCACACAAAAAACATTGTTATCGTTGGTGAAATTACGTAGACAGAAAAAAAATGAAAATAAAATTTCAATTTTCAAAAATGGCCATGTTTTTTCTTCTTTATGATCAATATGTATATGGGGCGATTCGTTTGAATCATTTCGGGTTTCTTTATTTTTGATTTATCGATATTATTTTTCCATTGTCCATTATTGTTGTTATCGATGGTCATCAATAATGAAAATGAGTGGATGACGAAGAATTTATTTTCACTTGTTTCCACGCAGAAAGATCCACAAAACTTTGATGACACAATATATCGGGAAAAGTCAAAAACTTTTTCAACTTTTTTTTTGTATGAAATCAATTTGTTTTTGGGGGTGGCTAGAAAAAATGTCATCGACATCATCATTAATGGTGCAAATGACAGCTCATTATATCATTTTTTTTCACATTGAAACCATGTTTCAATAGCGTAAATTCTTCAGAGCCAGAAAAAAATATTGATTCAGAAAATTCAAATAATCATCATCAGTCGTCTTCAGAAACTTTCATTTTATCAAAAACTCAATTTGATATTGGTCAATCGATTATTCGAACAGAATTCTTAATCAGTCATGTTCATAAACGACGTAATGTTGTTGCTGTTCCAAAAAAAAAATATCACAACTATTGAACAAATATTTTCACATTGACCATCCATAATTGATTACACATAACAAGAATTAGGAATTGAAACAGAAGAATAAAATTCATGTCTTACAACTTGTAATTACATTTTTTTTTCTTTCACACTCTTTCTCGTCTTACTCTTTTCAAGAGAGAAAGTAAGAGAAAAAATGGCTGGGCCAAAAAGTCTCAAGTGTTTTCCAAGAAGAAAAAGCAAGCTGTCAAGTGTCAAGTTACCAATGAATGAAGACGATAAATACAAGTTTTTCTTGATGCATTGAAACAAGATTTGTGAGTAAGTGAGTGTTGCAAAGAAAAGTTGATTTTCATTTTTGATCATCATCATCATTTGATCTTGTCGAATGTTGATTTTATTAGCAAAAAAATGACTGTTTTGGCTTCATCTTCACATTTTTTCGATGATTGATTAAGTTTTCTGTTTTTGTGTGTGTGAATGTGTGTTGAAAACAAACAAACAACCAGAATCTCCATTGATGTCTAATCTCTATCATTCTTATAGCTTGCTGATTTTCATTCAGGAAAATTGAGAAAAAAAAATTTAAATTTTGCCATTTTGAATCGATACTATCGCGATAGTAAAATGAATGAAAATTCATTCGATTGATTGAAATTTCCGCCATTTTTTATCCAATTTAAGTTGACCACATTTGTGAAATCGATTCTGGTTTTCGGTTACCAATCCATTACGATTTCCTTTCTAATAATCATTGATGACAAAAGAAAATAAAACGAATGAGAAATAAATGAAGACAAATGTGTGGTTGATGTTCCAGGCAGCAGCAGCAGCAGCATCTATCGATGATGTGATTGTGTCGGTAATACGATACGATTTCAAATCAATGATTATCGCTTTTCTCATCATCATCATCATCATCGTCATTCCATAAAAAGTTTTTCACAAGCCTCTTTTTCTGGTCCAAAACGGAAGTTTCAATTTCTTGCAGTTTCATTTGATTAGATTTAAATTTGATTCTTTCTCCCTCTTCTTCGTTGTGCTTATTTCATTGTTGTTGATGATTGCCAAAAGAAAAAAAAACAACCAAAAAACCAGCAAACAATCCAAACAATAATGTCATTCTTCTTCATCTAGCAGCAATTTGCAATCAATTTCAATCGTTTATAATCGTTTTCTTTATTCCAATATTCGATACGAGGAAGGTTTTTGAAATTAAATTTTTTTTTTCATTTAATTCATTCATCATTTGATTGCCGATGACAAACAAAAATGGCATCTGGCATTTTTGGAGCCGAAAAAAAAATCAATGAAATGTAAAGAAAATACATTGATTCAAAGAAATTGAATGAAACATTTACATAATTCAACAACATCATTGAACTCTGACATCTTCACCTCGGATGATTTACTTTGGTAGCAGAAAAAAAACTTGAATGGTGTCGTTCTTTGTTTATTCGGTGGCTTATAGCCAAGGAGAAAAAAAGGAATCCAGAAATAAATAAATGAAAAAAACCTCAATATAACACTATCATATAACCACAATACACATTATTGACATTTTCGAAACTTTTATCCATAAAAAAATCAATTCATTTTAAAAGTTTTTAAGAATTTTGAACTTACTTGCCTGTATGTGTGTGTGCGTTGATCGAAAAAAATTTGTTGAACTTCAATTGACACATTGAAATTGGCGGAATGTTTGTTTGTTTGTTTGTTTGTTTTTTCGATTGAACACAAACTTCAAATCATCACTCACAGATTTATATACACACAGTTTGTTTTTTTTTTGGATTTTCACAATTTTATATGGTCGGCTTGTTTTTTCTTTTTTTTTTTGATTTGATGCTTTGATAGAATTTTGATTCATTGAGGGCGTATATACGGTTGGGTGTGTGTGTATGTTTGTTTATGATTCGATCAACCGAATCATCATCATTATTATTATTACTATTTTCATTCAGTTTCTTTGTCTTGTTGTCGTCGTACACAACAATTTTTGATGATGATGACGATGATGATGATGACTGGATCAATTGGAACAGAATCATGAATTATTAATGTTGAAAAATATAAGAAAAAAATGTGTACAAAGAATTTTCTAAGAATTGTGGGAACAATGAACTTACGGCTATTTTTTTTCATTCATCCATTCATCGATCCATTGAAATCGAATGCCATTGAATGGTAGACATTGGTTGCTGAAATATTCAATGATGATGACAACAATAACTAATCACATGCTGTTTTATATATACGGATTTAATTGTAAAATGAAAAAAATTTTCATCTAAATCCCAGCCAAGCATCAATGATTAAATAGATTGTTTTCTCTTTATCGGTAATTGATTTCAATTGCAAATCAACTTTCTTTTTTTTCGGAAAAAAAATCATCTAGCAACAAAGTGGCTTTAGGGATTTTGATCAACAACAGCAATAAAAATGAAAATTTAGTCCAATTCGTATGAATATAAATTTTTCCTCAAAAAAAAATTACTCACCATAGTTTTTTTTTTTGATTTTCAAAAATGTTTTGAATATTTTTCCAGAGAATTTTTCGCACAAACAATATTATAGTCTCGGAACAATCTCGAATAGATGCGCGTTGTTGATATGGTTGATGATGATGATGATGAGAGCACGTATTTTTTGAATGCAGGCAGAGACAACAACAACAAATGAGCATCAATATCATCATCATTATTCCGGTCAAGTTTCGATTTTGGTTTTTTCTATTTTCACTTGTTTGGAATTCATTGTGTGATATGCTGGCAGTTTTTTTTTGTTTTCTTTGTTCCATTTTG